CTAATTTTGCCTTCTTTCTATTAAGTAAGATTGCACTAAACAATTATGGCTGCCAGTGTTTTAATCCACTCCAGGCTCAGGCCTTGTTCATTTGTTTCTTAGCACGGATTCCTTGTATTTGAAGAACTTCCATTATCGGTTTCCGACACTTTTTTTGGCCCAGGAATGTGGCTTAATGGTATATTGTGATAGAGCAGCTTCGCTTGGCTCTTAAACAGGGGTGGTATGACTCCTTCAGCCCCCTTAAGCTGTTGTTAAACCACTTGTTAAAACACCGTGTACTTTTTGTCTCTATTTTTGTAAGCCGGGGACAGTCTTTTCCTCTTGACCTGTCACGTATGAGCCTCTAAACGCTAATTAATGTAGGAAGCCCAGCTGCTTTGTCACTTGGGTCTCTACTTAGAAACTGAGACTGTGTGCCACCTGTGTGCCACCAGAAAAGCTTATGTTGTGATTCACACGTAAGGAAACATTATTGTGCAGTACAGAGACAGAAATCATAAAGAATTTAATACATTTAGTTCCTTAATTCCATTATGAATTTGTTTATAATATTTGTAAATAAGCAGCTCTTTTATATTTATTGCACTCCCAGGTCTGTTGCTATGAGGTAATTTCAGACTTTATCAGACACAACAAACCAGAGTAAATTTAATACTTTTTTTTTTTTAATTATGCAGATTTTTTTTGTTATGGCAGGTTGCATAATATCCAATAACTGGTCATAGCTCTATAAAAATTTTAGACAAAAAAAAATAAAGATTTTTAGTTTTTCAAGTTTTTATAAAACATCACTGCATGAACCTTAAGTACGTACATTGGAAATGACATATTGAGTCAGATTAATTCAGCAACTGCTCAGAGTTATCCATGAGTATTATAAATCGAACCACCCCCAAAAAGGTAATTCATTCGAAAATCAGTCTACACTGGTCGCACTGTGTGATTTTAAATATATATTTTTTTAAAAACTCATAAGAATCATTCATTTGGGAATTGAACTCAACTGATCACAGTGCATGTTTTTGAATCACTAAAAAGAACCAGAAGAGTCATTCAACTACACTGGTTTTGCTGTGTGTTTTTGAATCATTAAAAATAATTGATTCATAAGAGTCATTCATTTAGGAAACAATTAAAGTACACTGGTGACACTGCATGTTCACAGTGGTTCCTTAAAGTAACCTGTTTAGAAACTTAACTGATCATGTGAATGTTGCTGATTCATCAAAAAGAACCAGCTTTTTTGGGAATCCAGCTATACTGAGGCACCAGTGGAGGCTCAGAAGAGCCTAGTAAATGAATCTCTAGTTGCATCCCAATTCTGTTCCATTTTGTAGTATAAATAGTATGAGAATTTCAAAAAGAAGAAAGTGCACTTCAAATAACCAGCTGATGCACTTAAATTAACCAAAAAAAAAAAAAAAACATGCACTGACGCAGATTTCCTTACATGATGGAAGGGAAGGGACTATTCTATTAGATTGTAGTTAGTAGGTTGTTCCCTCTGCTTTAGTAGAATGGTGCATGTATGAGAACCGTTATTGGAACAGATAGTCATAAAAATAGTTTGGTTCTGGAGATGGTTTAGAATAAAAGCTAATCCTCGGTTCCCAACCCATCGTGCTCCAGTAACATGTACCTCCTGTCTGGGTGTAATATATGGAGTTGTCATACAAACACTAGGGTTCTGGTTGGTCGCCAGTCCATTCTGGTAGCAAATTCACTGATACACGGTGCACATCCATACAATCAAACACACATTCATAGATAGACATGCACATGATGTGCACATTCAACACACAGACACCCTCAGTATGAATCAGTCCAGGTGTCTTGCTCTGCTGGTCACAGTTTAATGAACACTGACACCACATTGAGATGGATGCGGGCCAGGCCTGCTGGTGTTTTAAACATGAAACGCACTGTAGAGTGCCACAAGGAAACCCAGAAGTTCCTCACAGTCCTGAAGCAACTGTTAATATGACTGCTGGAATATACTGTCACTTTATTGCTAAAGTACACTGAAAACTGTAAGTACTGTGGCATGAGTGATGATTGTATCAATATTTATGTTGATGTCAATAGTTTCTACAGTCTCAACAGATTACAGATTGAATTTACAATAAATAGAAGCTGTTAATTTTCACTTGGCAAATGGGGAATTCTGCCAGTACAACTCTGTGCTGTATATTTACTTGATAGACAGACTGGCAACGACTGCATTAATAGAAATGAACAACAATGCGTGTAACTTTTCACAAGCTGATCGCATCGCATCGTGAGTTGAGTGAATCGTTACATCCATATATGCTACTAGTTTTTGCTGTGGTATCAAATAAGTATTCTGTTATTTAAATAATAAAGAACCATTTTTTTTTTTGCTCATCTGTAAAATGATCCGATCTGTTACTCAAAGTCTGATATGATAATGCAATATGGTCCGAGCCGTGGGTTTTGTGATCCGTTGCACCCCTACTCTCTTGACTTGTTATTTGAAGAAAAAAGCGATCACTGAAGTTTTTAATCATGCTGATTTGTCCGCAGTGAAGTTTAGCTGTTGTCTTTTTTTTTTTATTATTCGGGCTACTTAAATTCATTTTGGGCTACCAAAATCTGAAGAATGTCTGCCCGAAGGGCTACCAGCGATTTTGAAATTGTGCGAGCCCTGATACATGGCTGTGGGAACTAGGGGTGCTGAGGGTGCTGCAGCACCCCCAGCCGCAGGGTCGGGTCTGAGATTTTCCTTGTACCCCTCGATCATCCCTAAAATACATCATTTCTGTGATAGTTTTGGGATTAATTATTTATTAACCTGACCAGAAATATAGCCTAAAGCGGTTGTATTTTTCTTGGGTGCCTCGCGGCGCGCGTCCCTACTTCTCCCCCTCACACTGACAGAATTTCATGTGAAATATTCACGCGATATTACCGTAATTTCATATTCCGACTTGTAAAAACCATTCACGTCCTCGTCTTTTTTTATGAGCCATTTTCCGAGGCTTTCTCGCTTCTCAAGACGGCCACCGTCAATCCCAATAAGCACAGCTCTTTAATTGCACTCTAGTCTCTGGTCAAGCGTGCTCAAACCACTGTAGCCTAACATAATCTATTAACTACGCACATCATAACGTTTTAGGCAAGTAGACCTACAATATATAATGTCATAAAATATTTTAATAAGACTGAATTTGTGTTTAATCTGATCACGATTAGGCTAATAAAAAGACATTTTAAGTTTAATTATAACGCCGCATGTCCACGATTATACAAATAACGAACAAATACCACCTTTTTCTTGTCGTAAAAATGGGCGCGGCCATTTGTAAATTGTATGGGTCTGGCTTCCGGTCTCATCTGCATCCAGCTATTTTTAGCTGTACGTTTTGCTGCTTGATATTGAAAACTGGTGTGTCTTATATTATTTTAATGTATTATCTTATTTATGAACACACTGGTTTGTAATGCAAACAGTTTTACCGTTTACTGCACGTTGTGATTCGCCTCGTTATTTACCTATAGCGGTTAATGATCTGGAAGTCTCACCCATAGGCTTACTTCCGCGTTGAAGAAAAAGGTGGAAGCGAGCAAAGAACATACATTATCAGAGAATATAACTGAATTCAGTATAGAGTAAGCACTCTAAAAAACTATGTTATAATCAGTGATGTTGTATGCAGTGTATGATGAATTAATCTCTTATTTACATCACATGTACATCTGCACTTTGTTGTTTCTGATGAGAGAATTTGCCAAAGTGCACTGACCAAAAATTTTGCTTATCAGCAATGTTAATATTTAGTAAAATCCCTTTAAATAATAGAAATATTAAAGAAAAGATTATTGAACTAAAATCACAAATATATATTGGTTCGCATATAACTGTCTTCATGTGTATGTTAATCAATAAGAGTTTGGGCTGTTTAATATTAGGATTTTGTCAAAAATCCCCCACCATGGCTCCGCCCTGCAACATCAAGCCCCGTCCCCAGCACCCCCCAGATAAAATAGGCTATGTTCCCAAGGCTATGGAATCATACGAGTCGGTGCTTTTAGTGAATCAAAACCAAATAGTGTGCAGTCTGACACCTGCATGACTCATGTCCCTTACGAATCGGTGCGGTTATTGAATTAATCTGAATCTTTTACAGAAAAAAATACTTAAACAATATTCAACTTAAAATAAAGACTATACTATGTTGTACTTTAAAGTCGTGTCCCTTACGAATCGGTGCGGTTATTGAATTAATCTGAATCTTTTACAGAAAAAAATACTTAATATTCAACTTAAAATAAAGACTATACTATGTTGTACTTTAAAGTCGTTAGATTTAATCAAAAATACACGAGTTTTGTTACTGTTATATGGGAAAATGTTAGACCTAGTAAGTACTTTTACTTAATATATAGTTCCTTCCAATTATTTGATTGCATTCTTCTCTTTAAAAATAAGTCTACGTAAACACACCTTTGCAAGAATTGTATTTTTCCTGTTAAGTTAGACCTGTTCTGTTGAAATCTGAAATGATCTCATATGCCAAACGACTGCAGAGGGCTTAATTGCATGTTTTCCCCTCCGAATATTTCTTCCACAAAAGTAGGCTACTTAAAGAACGTATAATGAAACAGGAATCGATAAGAAGCGGAACTAGAACCCTTCATTCTTCATGATTGCCGTTCCTACAGGTTACACAGACACGCTTAAATCAGCTCAAAGTCACCGGCAGGCCACCATAATTGAAGCGTCACTTGCAAGATATTTTTCTTAATAGAGCATCGGACAAGATGTTAAACCACAAGATCTGCTACACTGGCTTGACGTGTCAACCGGTAAGAAAGGCAGTTCACATCAGGCCTTTCTTTGTGCCAGCGATCGAGGAGTTTGCATTAATAATAAAGGACATCATCTTAATTTATCTCCAGTCTCTGAACTGAAACTTAAAAAGGCTTCGCGTGAACCAACACGGCACACTTGTCAAGTACAGCAAATAAAGTCCTACCTTTTGCTTTGAAAGGTGAGAAACTGCGAAAGTGGAGCACTTCAGACTTCCATTTTACACGGACGCTCAGATGAAAAGAGGAAAGCTGTGGAGAAGTGATGATCGGGCTGTCGGCGATGAACGAATAATCTCTCATACATGAACAAGGACATCAGCCGAGCAAGGTAGATCGCGTAGTTCTGCGCTCGTAGAATTCATCGTTTTGAAGTTCTGCACCTGCCTCAATTCACGATAACGCAGGAGCTGTAATCCCGGACGTGTGCGCGAATTCTTCTTTCACTCCAGATGAAGTTTGCTGGACGGCATCATGACGCGCTCGCGCTGAAAATAGCACGAACCAGAAAAGGGACACATCGTCGCGTGGCATCTCCAGAGCCCGTCATAAACACGAAGATGTGTCACGCAGAGTGAAAGGCGCTCACACTTATGAGACGGGCTGTAAAACGTAAAGCTTTGCTCACAGCCTCACACTGCATTGATGCTGACATTTCCTAGGATGCACTTGGAACAAGTTACCGTCCGGGGACGCTTACAGTGTTTCTGTGAAAAACAGTGGTCTTTATTGGGTTTGATTTAGTGAGAATCAGAATGTTTATCCTTTGCATTCAAACTACATTAAATCTAGTTTGAGGTCTTTGAGCAAAACAACCTATTAAAATGGCTAATTGTGTATGTTAAATTAAATAACCATTTTTAACAATTCATATTTTTAAATGATAGTTTTATCAGTACAACCTGGCCTTTTGACAAATTAAAAACAGATCTGTTGTGAATTACTTTTAAAATAACAACTATAATCTGAGTCATATATCATACAAAATCCTTATATCATTGCAAGTTAGCAGGTCCTCAAATAAGTCCAGTTTCATGTACAGTTGATTAAAAAAAAATTTAAAAAAAAGGCTGCACCATACTGCTTTACCTCATGCTGGATCTGAGAACAAAGGATTTATTTTAATGTCAGACCAATCAAAGATACATAGCTGCTTTTGGTTCAATGGGAATAATAAACAAGACTATTCATCAATCTTTGATCACCAGTTTTAAATCGTTAAAAATAATGGGATTTTGTATTTTAGATGGCAGTTAAAGCAATCATACTTTTTTTTTTTTTTTTCAAATATTAAGGCTTTATCACAATGTTTTAGTTCCGTTTTCTGTGCACAAAAGATAAAAAGCAAAAAGGGGCTAAAATATACACAACACTAGAAAACACTGAAAAGTAACAAAATGGCTTGTAATGTACATTTAATATTTACAGTTATGCAAGTGGTTCCTTTTCTGCCCTCTAACGGAGGATGACTATAAAATATATACATGTTTTATGAACCCCCCTGACACCTGGACTTCCTGCCAGCATCAAGGCTAACTCGTGGGCTGCCTGTCATCTTGACTACTCAATCCAGAGCTGTGGCCAGTGTTGGTCCGAATAAAATTGTTGAGGCCATCAAAGCCTTGATTAAAGAGAAACTCCATATACCAGTTCCAGTACTTCCCGATCTGCAAACATGAAAAGAACAGTTACTGTGAGGAATATTGCAACAGGATAAAAGGAGTAAAAACAAGCTCTCATGTGGACCTAAAATACGTTTTTAATAAAAAAAGAGATGATATAACGTTAGTACCTTTATGGAACCGAGATCAACGTTCTTCTTCTCTGGCCAACACTGATAAAGAGAACACATAAATATTCATTGTTCTCCCTTTGCTTTAAATCTCAGTAGTACACTGCTGAATGTTGCAGTCAGACCAAAAAAAGGTACTTGTATTATTAAAGATGATGAAAACTCCAGTCCCATACAGTTTCCATGAATAATAAAATGTGATTCTGTATTAATGGATCCTCTATAAAAGATACATTAATACCACATTTATCTCCTTGTCCAATCCTAAAGTTATTAGTGAAAAGTGGAGGCTGCGCTGTCCCCGGTATTGACACACAAGGCTTTACACACTTGATGTAATATAATCATCTAATTAGTCCCTTTCCTTCACTCCAAATGAGATGAGTCAAGCATCACTGTACTGTTACAAGCTCTTGTGCTTTTAAATGTCACTAGTGTGACAATATCTCACTCACCCTCTGATGAAATTCGATGGCATAGCTGAAAAGCGCTGGGTGGTGGATGAGGTCGAAACGGCACCAGGGTTCTGCCACTTTGCTTAGAGCGATGAGATCCTTGTCAATCTCAATGTCTGAACCAGGGATGGACCACCAGGAGTTCCACATGGAGTTCACCATTGCTTGAAGGTTCCGATTAAATTCCTTGTATGTGTTTCTGCTAATGTGGAATGTTTGCTGTAATGTAAGAAAATATTAATGAAACTAAATGAAAAAGTCAAGACACATTTTAAGCTCAATAAAAATGTGTAAATTCAAATTCAAAGTGCCTGGTGCCACTTAAGAGATCTAATGGGTTACAGAGTGAGACAATCACCGTGCGAGTTAATAAAAACCTTCACCCATATAATTTATATAACAAAAGTGCAATCCTGTCATCAAATTATTTGGCCATATCATTTACTGCAATATCAGTGCCATGATTTGTCTCACTGGGATTCAATCAAGAAGACTCCTTTCATCTCCAGCAGGTAAGGTGAAGATTACAGCAATGGCCTGCAGGAGCTTCATTGTAAATTCTTAAAAGCTTGAAGGTCCTTCTAATTTACCCATCCTAAGTAAATTATTCAGAAACAAAACCTCCTGCATACGCACAGTTGGCATTTCATGACTTTGCCGTGTGTTAATTTTACGAGACAGTATCCTCATTACCTCTCTCTGTTGCTCTTGTTTCTTAGCCAAGGTCAGATTCTTCCGGTACCTGAGAAAAGGAAATAACAACAGGATTTTATTAATAAAGTTAGCATATTATACTATAATTAATTCTGTTCTAATAAAATAAGAGGGGACATGAAATAGTTAGGTGAGATATACACTACAATTTTGGGGTCAGGAAATTAATACTTTTATTCAGCAATGATGCAGAATATCAATGCTACTTTTGAGCTGTACTATATTATGAGAAATCTGAGAAAATGTGAGAGAATTAGTTAATACTGGTACTTGTGTGGAACATAATTATTCTGGTTTGTAAACTTATGTGGAAATATGAATTTTCCAGTTTGACTCTTCCCTCAGCATGTTTAAGCCAATGATAGTAATACGCTTAAACCAGGGGTGCCCAAACTCGGTCCTGGAGGGCCGATGTCCTGCAGAGTTTAGCTCCAACTTGCCTCAACACTCCTGCCGGGAAGTTTCTAGTATGTATAGTAAGAGCTTGATTAGGTGGTTCAGGTGTGTCTAATTGGGGTTGGATCTAAACTCTGCAGGACATCGGCCCTCCAGGACCGCGTTTGGGCACCCCTGGCTTAAACAAAAGCCTAGCAAGTGGGCAAAAATATTGGTCTGTTCCTCACAAGTTCTCATATGGCTTTTGTGGTTCTGTGTCTTTTTTTGGAGCTTTGCACTATAAACCCCCATACACTTTCATTGTATGGAAAGCGGTAGCTTGGCTATTCTTCAATCTTAAACACCTTAAAGGGTTAGTTCACACCAAAATGAAAATTCTGTCATTAATTACTCACCCTCATGTCGTTCCAAACCCGTAAGACCTTCGTTCATCTTCGGAACACAAATTAAGATATTTTTAATGAAATCGGAGAGCTCTCTGACCCTCCCATAGACAGCAACGCAACTGTAATGTTCCCAGGTCCAGAAACGTAGTAAGGACATCGGTAAAACAGTCCATGTGACATCAGTGGCTTAACTTCAATTTTGCGAAGCTACAAGAATACTTTTTGTGCGCAAAAAAAAAGACTATTCAACAATTCTTCTCCCCCGAGTTACCGTCTTCCACCATTTTAGAGAGTATCACAACACATACGCACGCTTTCCCCCCGAACCTAGGAACATTACAGTTGCGTTGCTGTCTATGGGAGGGTCAGAGAGCTCTCCGATTTCATCAAAAATATCTTAATTTGTGTTCCAAAGATGAACGAAGATCTTACGGGTTTGGAACGACATGAGGGTGAGTAATTAATGACAGACTTGTGCATTTTGGATGAACTATCCCTTTAAAGCCTTCACAGCAGCACTTATAAAGTTAAGTGTGCTGAAGCAGATGAAAGGATCTTCATACTTCATTTCATCTATTGCTTACAGGCATCATGCCATAGCAATGTAATGCATTTGAAGGTTCAAGCTGTTGCCCTCAGTTTAGCCAGCAGCACACACTGCCATGGGAACTGCACATGTGATGAAGAGGAATTTACCGTTGCCCAGCTCAATCACCCAAAAGTAGTTCCAGAAGATGCCCTTAATCTAGCATGGCCAGGCTAACATCTCAAACAGAAAATCTCCAGGATTGACCAGAGTGATGAAATTACCCATGAAGCTTATTATAGCTCTCATATAATACCTGTACATGATGTAACCAAGTCGATCCACGCTGACTGAGTCTGTGGCAAAGAGAGCTGGGTAGAAAACCCCAGCTGGAGGCATGATGATCAGAGGCAAGCTGTACTTCAGAAACATGTCACACACCTAGACATGAGGAGAGAGAAATTACTGTATTAGCACAAAGAAATTAACATCAGTGTTTGTTGTACTAAATCTACTAGATTCAAATCAGGACACAAATCTTAGTGAAACTCAGGCAGGAACTTCAGTTGATGTCACTTTGCCACGAACATCATGTTAATTAAGTTAATCATAGCTGAGTGTACCGTCTCATAGAAAGCAAGTGTCTGGTTGAGCAGAAGAACGTGGCAGTTCTCCAGACGGAGTCCCTCAGATGCCAGTAATCCCACAAAGCGAACCAGCTCCATAACAGAGTCCATGAAGCCGGACAAGGTCATAGTCCTAGGAAGAATAGTCTATTATTTTTTTCACTCACTTTTTTGAAAGCATACAGAAACTAACATGTGAAAAATTAGTTTCCTTGCAGAACGTACTATATTTCTCCAAGAGAGAACAATAAATTAGCTTTAAATCACACCTAGTACACACCAGATGTGTCTTTGTGCTATGCTTGGCACCCACGCAATTCGCACGGCACAGCACAGAGACCCAAAGCAAAAAAGGGAATAATGGGTGTATCGCATTGAAGCATGGCACACCGACGCAGTCAAACAGGGTTTTGCCCTTGATCATAATTTCTCCTTCAGCTGTGCACTTCAGTAATGTAATAAAAAAATTACCAAATCAGCAGCAAGAGAGAAGCAATACATGACAGGCGAGGGAAAAAATCCTCCGCACTTCATTACATACCGTTCCACAGAACACTTTTAGGGTAAACGAGGTTCAGATGGAGCCCGACTACAGGAGCAGTTCATTGATCTCTTTTAAATATAAATATAAAGAAATCTGCAGTGGTAAACCTCAGGCGAGACTTTTAAGAGTACAATCGCTGAAGTGTGGTACCATTTCTTCAGATTATTTCTGCAATGTTTCCCAAGACTGTGAGTTTTTGACAGTCATTAAAAACTCTTAGGACTCAGTAAAGTGAGAGTCAAATTAAAGACAACAGCATTTGCATATTATTTAAATTCTATAAAGCAACATGTTTCCAAGAATATTCAGCTGGAAATAACGCTGGGATTTTAATCGGGATTTGATTGGACCATTAGAATTGAAATATTTTTTGGCATTAATATTATTTTCTCTGCCTACATGGCCTTGGTTACACTAACAAACAAACTTGGTTTTTGAAAACTTGTTGATAACTAATAAATTGTGCAAAATAAGACTAGGGATTATTATGAAACTAAATACTGTCGATTTTTATTTCATATTTTTGGTATACTCACATGGCGCTGTTGCTGTTAAGACTGATGTCCAATCCGCCCTCCAATGCACTGACGGAATGCCATGTCAGCCACTTAACCAGCATGCTATTCAGACACTCGATGACACTACACTGTGAGGAGGACAATGTGAAAAGGCACATTCAGATAAGGGTGAAAAAAAAAATCAAACCCTGCTTTCAACTGCTGAGCTGTGTAACGATGTCACGGCTTTGTGTAGAAAAAGTAATTCACTTATGTCTGAACTTTTTAAGCATTCACTGGCTCACATGGCCATGCTCGTGCTTGATACAAACAAACAGAAAGGAAGAAAAACAACAACAAATCTTTACAAACCTTGAAAAATACTGTGGAGATAAAATAAAGTTGCTTCAGTGGCTCAAAGAGAAGTTTATGCATGTCTACAGACAAAGAAAAGAAACATTAAGTTACAGTTTTACTTACATTAATTCTGTATTGACCAAATAAAATGTTCAAGACAACAAAATATGATGTCTGATCAACAAACAATGTAGAAATGCCATTATCATCATTAGAGGTAAGGACTCCCCATCTTTTAGAATGCTACCTGCTTTTCACAAAAGAAAAAAAATTCACTAAATCAGCGAATGCAAAAAGTTACGCGAACAGAGAATGTCTTTCTTGAATTCCTCTGGTTGCAGCAGAGGTAATTGGGACACTTACAGAAGCTTGGCATCAAGGGGATGTCACTAAGAAGATCCAGGATCTGCGGCCGGAGCAGACAGCCATCCCACACACTCAGAAACTTATAAAGAAAACTCTCAGTGCTGGAGAATCCCTCCTGAGAACAATGTACAAATACAAACCCTGTCAATAGGGGATTTTACAAGTGGGGAGATCATACAGGAACGCAGAAGAGAAAGAAAGGCAGAAAAAATATTGATAGATCCTGGGATTTGTGGTATAAACTGCCACATGTTTCTGATATTAAACATCCAACCTTGAGGCTGCCAAGGTTAATTTCTTATTGGTTTAATACTTGTCTTCTGTTGCTTGGTCGTACCTGCAGGAACTGCTGTGAAAAGAGGATGGTGCTCAGAAAGCGACAGGCTTCAGAAGTGTTGTCAGAACTCCCATCCACAGGACATAGTAAAAGCTCTGCCCAAAACATACAAGAATAAAATGCATCTATAAAGGTCCAGGGAATAGAGAACTTTAGATAAGACTGAAAAGGTTTAGTATTATGACATGGAAAATGTACCCTCTTGCAACGAGTGTCCAAGCCAAAAGTTAAGGCGCAGGGAGGCAGATTCATCCTGTACACAGTCCAGGTAGTGCAGAGCCAGAGCTGATCCCAGAAGTGAACCCATCTGGGCAGGCAGCTGAAAACAAGTTATGACTTCAACATTAAGCAGCAATATGCTATACAACGTGCATCTGCACAACATAGAGACAGTATATCATAACCAAGAACTGTCAAAACAGCTGGAGGCAAATAAACCAATTCAGTCATACTTCTGGCTCCTTTGAGACCTGTACTGAAACTGACAGTTTAATACAACAGTTTAGATGAAACACATTCCACCATTCTACATTCTCACTCTTTTCAAAAACTGTAATGTGTGTCAGTCTACAAACAACCGCCTCACAATATGGGAATTCAACAAATAATAAATAAATAAAACTAAGTGACAGATTGACAATGGACATGGCTGAGTCTTTCTGTAATTAACAAGCAAATGTATCATTCATCTGAGAAATTACTGATTCTAATGATGGGGTTGCCACAGTAAGAAAGAATCAATGATCTTTCCCCATGGCCACAAATTAACTGTTTTTTATTTCCCACATGACTGACTCCACCGGTTTCTTTCTCAATCCTTCCCTGTTGCAGACTGCAAAGTCAACCCTAAAAAAGTGGTGCAGGAACACTGTGACGATATTAATTTTGTGCAGAATGAAGCGTAAATGTCTGCAGACCTTAAAAAGAGATTAAATAAGGCTTATCAGGTTAGTGGATCCATCAAGTAGACTGTTTGCGAGGTGTCATTGAATACTGTAAATATTCTATGACTTGTCAATTGAATGTAATATATTGTTTAGTATTTATAGAGGACCGTGTTGATGAACATCAAACAAGTCAAAGACTTAATTTTACATCTGAGAAGTTTGACTACTGTGAAAGATTCTGCAGCAAAATCAATGAAATGGCAGACTTAATGACATGCTCATTGATCAGTCATGTGAAGACTTAGCTCCACCAAGTGGCCAAACCACTGTGGTGCAGATGTGTTTTGGTTTACTCATCAGATCGGGTAAATGTGATGAATATTATGCAATACGCCTTTTTGTTTAAAGTTTGATTGCCTGATGTCTAACACACAACTGGACCCAAATAATGCTTCATTCTACAGACAACGTATATTGTGAGCGAAAGAAAAAGAGATGTGTATTACCTCTATATTGTGAATGTTCTCCAGTAGCTCTTTGAAGGAACGGAGCTCCTGCAGGCGGAACACCTTCTTGTTGGAGTTGCTGTCGAATGCCGAGCTCAAGGGAGGTATTGCTAGGTGATGTAGTTTCTATGGACATTAGATACATTCAGTTTATAGATTAAAAATTAAAGACTTTGACACATTTTCTTTTTGTCCCCCATTCATATAATTTCAGAACATAAAAACTTTAAGTCTGGAATATACAAGGCCAGTCTTCTGCCCCAATTTCCAGTCTGGAGGATTCAACACTAGCTGCCGAAAGTCAACTAGTACCAATTTTAGAACACCTACATTGCATCTGAATATGCCTACTTCCATATGTAGGAGGAAAAAACCAGTATGTGAAAATAGTATTCATAGTATTCATAAACCAGAAGGCAAAAAGTACCTGGATGACCTACTATTTCTGGCGATATTTTGAAGTGTGCATCTGATAAAACTTTACTATCCCAAGAGGCCACAGGACAGAATTTGTGAATTGCATTGTGAAGCAACACAACACTGGTAGGTCACGCAACAGTAACAACATGGCGGATGAAATATATCCTAATTTAATTTTATACTACTCATATGCATACTTCCCGTCCATTAAAAAAAAACGTTTCAAACTAAATAAAGTGCCTACTAGACAGTATGCAATTTCAGATGCAGCTATATTGTTTTCATTTGTCATGGATCTCCTGGCAACAAGGTGCATGTTTCTGTGGAACAATTTGAAAGTCTGGTTGCATGTGATGCTGCCTGTGTCATTGTGTATGATGTCCAGCTTTTAGGCAAATCCTAGTGTTTTAAACGCTGTTAAAAGTTGTGATGTTTATTACAGCCCTTATTTAACAGTGAGTGTTCTGTAAAGCTCTTTACAGTATTACACAAATGACATCTTACCCTCTTTCTAGTGGATGGCTTCTCTTTCACATCCAGGCTGAGGCTCTGGTCAACTAAAACAGCACCCTTGTTTTTCCTCTGCACAGCACTCAGAGCTACTTTCCAGGTGGAATTGTGATTCTTGAATCCAGTCTGGAAAAAAAAAACTACAGTTTAAGAGTCTGAAACATCTGGCAGAAGAACAAAGTTCTGCTAGAGAAGTAATAAATGCACTAACCCTCACTCTTGATGGAAGAGAGAGCGTCACTAAGTCTGGGCAGTACACTTTGTAGAGTGCTAGAAGTTGGGTGAGAAATGGTTGTCTGCCCTAATAAGAAAAAGGGAGAAACACAAAGTACTTGTCAAATGAAATGTATCCAATTAAAAGAAACATTCTCTACCACTACAGTTAGTCTACATTTATGATGAGGATATTGAGGTGTTTATTTTAATAGATAGTCTTTACCATTTTAGCCTGAATATCCAACAGTTTCCTGACTCTGTACGGGTGAACTATGAAAGTGGGGGGGAAAAAAATAATAATAATCAGAATAACAAGCAAATAACATCATGCATTATTTACAGCATTCACTCACAGACAAAAAAAATTCAACCACTTATTTAACAGCTCACCATGTTCCCTCATGGTTAAAAGGTACAACAAGTGGCAAATAAATGGGCACTGGAAGAAAAAAAAAAACAGCCTAGTAAATTAACATGAAAATAAAAATGTTGTATGCAATTATAAAACATAAGCCAGTATACTTACAACATAGACATTTTCTAAATTAAAAGAAGCATTTGCAAAGCACAACTAACCAGATTTTCTTCTGTCACAAAGCTGAAAATGAAGCCATAAATGGATCTCAGGTTGTCTTTGCAATCAATCAGGTCAAAAACAGTGAGTACCCAGCGGACAAAAAGAACCTTAAAAGAAAACATGTTACTAAGAGACTGAACTGAATGTTTAAAATGGCAATGAAATGGAAGCACTGACAGATTGTGTTCTTTCATATTGTGACATACATTTACAGTATAACAGATTACTGAAAAAGAAAACCACAATTTGAGATGTGGGTGATGCACACAAAAATGGAGTTAGAAGAATGTGGGCCTGCAGAGGTAGGTTTAAGCAGACTAAATAATTGTCAAAGCCCTAAAAACATAACCAAATAGAAGTCTGTCATTCCACCATGAGTCTGAGATTAAAGATTTAAATAATTAAATGAAAAGACCTTATTAAAAATGTAATAAACAAGGTAAAAAATAAAATAATAAAAAGGAAACATGTATAAATCTTTCACAATGAAACCTATAATATGTATTTAGAAAATAGATTACTTTTCATTTTCAACTTTAATTTTGAGACCTATAAAGCAAAAGTAAATAACAGCCATTTCACCAATTAACAGCCCTTACCTGTGCATTCATTGGCATTTTCCCTACACATAGCCACGACACCCCCTTCACAATAGCCTCCTGCGGCACCACTGTGGCAGGTATGAGAAACTTCAGCACCCGGGTACAGTTCGCGGTTCCTGTTGCACAAACTGAATTTAATTATCTGTGCCATAAACCACTAAAGGCACGCAGCAGAATTAGGATGATATGTTTGACTGTGATCTAATTGCTATAATGTTTCTCATGATGAATTCCTGCTCATGTAAACAAATACAGCTGAAGAAATCTGTGCATCCCCTAATTGTATTACCTGCATTGAGGCTTAAAGCCAAGTCCAGTAGCACTGTGATGACCTCTGGAGGAAGACCCTTACTGAGAGCAACTGTCTCCACCACCACCATATTCCTCTCCAGCTCATCATTCCCTCTGACTACTGTGCCAGCTTCCACTGTAACATACAACAATACATGTAAACAGATATTATGGCACTTAGATGTGATGCAGTATCTGATGACGACACCCTCACACAGATAAACAAAAGACCTAACAGTCTTGAAGTCGTCCAGAGTTGTTATCAGAGGAACAAAAACAAAAGAACTAAAAGAACAATGAATTAAATTTAAAAAACGCGTTCCTACTATTAAACTGTAACGCTCTAAAGTTGTTTTTCTAATACGTTTCTATAATGTTTTATGCTGCACTTACCCTGAGACAAATACTTCACCGCGAGACCAAAGGGATCCGCCTCGCCTTTTCGCCTTTCTTTTTCTGCCAAACGCAAACTTCTGTTGTTCGCAGAGGAGGCAGATGAGTCTATTTCTCCGGACGGTTCGGAACCTAACCCCGCCAGGTTAGATAAATCGGCCATTTTTTCGATACATTATATTATTATTTGTTACCTGTCGCGTGCTTGTCTCGGTCGCTGAAGTAACCCATTCAAACCAAACGCCAAATCTGCCGCGACCGTTTGAACATGCGCACTGGATCACTTCCTGTACGAACTGAAAGCGGAATATCTTCTTCTTCTTCTTCTTTCTTTTACTGGCAACCGCACTTAACAGTGCATTACTGCCATCATCAGGTAGCTTGGATCAGAAACATTTCCTCTATCTCTTAACATTTTAAAGCGGAATATCTTTACTGCAGCTAGCTATATTATAATATAAAGATGTTATTAATATATGATTGTATTTTAAAATTGACTTTTTCATTGAATTCGTAATTTGCATTTATCATTGTTAATGTGTTAAAAGATAAACAATTGTGTACAGTTTTAAATAGTAACAATGCAAACTAGATGCACCCGCAAATAAATACCAAGGGAAGTTCCACGAGTGTAGATATTTTTATACGGATAATATTTTATACATGGCTACTGTGGCTTAGAGAAATTCCTCTAAGGGGTGGTTTTTGGCTTAAAAAGGCTTATATTCATAAAAGGCCGCAGTTTTGTTCGTGTCATAGTTAAGTAGTTAGTCACAAAGAAAATTATTTAAATTGGGTAATGTTGAGGAAAATACACATTTATGAATATAATATTTAGCCAATAAAATAAGTACATTTCCTATATGTTTTATGTTATGATTGCAATGAGAAAATAACAAATTATATCACACATGGTTAAATCAATGTCTAAATTGGATATTATTATTATTATTATTATTATTATGTCCAAGGTATCACTGGTAGGATCCACTCTTCTACTTCATGTGATGTTTTATGGTGGTTTGCAAACCAACGTAGAAAGTGCATGTCTGCTACCTACTGGAGTGCGTGTGCAACGTCAAAGTGGTTGAAAAATGAATTAAAATATACATTATATAACAGCAGAACATCAGACCAGATTTTGAGACAAGAATATACTGAGTTGACTATATTTGATAAATAGATATGTTGGTATTAAAAGGTAAGAACTGTAAAAGAAAAAAGGGCACAATGATACTACTGTGTGATGATACTACAATTAAGAAAATACTACACATGTACACTTTAAATATTTCTTTTGGTGGATTGGAAATTATTTTTTGTGAGGATAATTATTTTTTGAGGATATTTGTTTTTGTTCGTAAAACTGGTTTACATTGCATTGTGCTTAAATATACTGAATAGCATATATGCTGCAAGGATAATTAGCATAAATATGGTTGACTAATTTACAGTCTGTTTTAGACAAGAATATACTAATGGTAACATATTATATTCGTATTCAAATTTCTAAAAAAAAGTGAGCAAGACATAAAAATCATAAGTGATGTTTTTAATACTGTCACCAAACTCCATGATAAACTGCATAGAGGTTTTATTCATCTTTGTTCAGCATCTGCATGCACAAACATCAGTTTATTCCCTCACTGTCAAGAGTGTAATATGACCCATTCTGTGTAAACTAAGAATGCACAATTCAGTTCATGAACTAGCTGGGCATTCTGGTAAAGGTTTAGACACAGGTCATGTTCTCTGTTAGGTATTTTTATGCAGTTACAAACAGCAAATGATCAGTATACATCCAAACATATCAGATAGGTTTCTCAATTCTACTCCCTCCAGCACTGTGCATTTTGAATGCATCACTTATTTAACACACCTGATTCATTTCATCAGTTTATTAGTAGTGATGCATAACCTGAATCAAGTATGTAAAATTAGTAAAACACTTCAAGTGAACAGTGGTGGGTTTTCAGGAACAGTATAAAGGAACAAATTGATCTAAAGAAAATAGAGTAAATGAAAAAATCTGAAAAAACACAAAAACTATTTTATATTTTATCCATTTAAGAATGAAACAATGTGGTAGTTCTTTGACTCAAAAGGAGAAAGCAACCATAAGCAGAATTCAAGGATACGATTTTTATTGGACTGTGTAGTTCAAGATCCAAACTAGAAAATCAAATTTGATAAAAGAAACAACGAAATATTATTTAATGTAAATTAAGAAATAATAGATACAGTAAGATTAATAATATGTAGAACTTATGTGTAACTGAACAAACTGCTTTTATGTTTTCATTTGTGAAGGCTGTGACAGATTTTGAGGCAACAGAAAAGCTACCGTCTGCCATCTGACTAACCTTTTAACAAATGATATACAGCATTTCTTAAAAAAATCAATCTTAATGTAAACAGAACTGGTTTTGTACAGTATTCATTGACAGTAGTTCAAAAAGTAAATAAAACATCACAAAAATTGTTGACATTTGAAGTTACCTGTATCACAGTGTAACCTTAAAAGTGGCGTTTAGGATATTGTTCAATGCAGGGCCAAAACAATAATAATAAATACAGCAGGGATTAACAGTAGTTTAATCTTTTGTTGCAAAACCACAGCCAAAACAGTTGACACAATAGTGATTATCCAAACGGAATATTTGCATTTTAAGAAGTTTTACAGGTGAGACATGAGGTAAAGGTAACATAAGATCTGATTTTCAGGCTGCTGATATGTAGCTGTGGGACATAAATCACCTTTTGGGACTACTGTCTTTTTTTCCGAGCATCTTCTCCTACTATCCAGAGAAACAGATCTGGTGCCAGGCGCTCTTTGTGAAACTGTGGAGCTAAGAAACTTTGACTTTGTTCTTTTCCTGGGCGGTGATCTGCTCTTCTCGTCTCTCCTCCCTCTCAGGCCGGTCCTCACCCTGACGAGCAATGAGCAGCCGACACGTCAGCAAAATACCAAATACCAGGGCATGGGCATAGCGTTTTAGAGGATCTCCAACTAGCTGGTGGAAGAAAAGCACCGCTAGCATGACCAGCAGCAGAATAAAGTTGGCCACGTCTTTTGGTCTCCCTGGCACAAGGGTCAGAACAATTCCACATCCCACCTCAAGAGTACCAATAATCTTGCGTAGAAGTACAGAAGAAATGCCCATTTTTTTCAATGCTGGAAGGGCCTTTGCATAACTCTTGTACGCTCTTTTCTGGAAAGGGAACGTAAACATGAAATTTATAATTTTGTCAAGAATAATTAACATGAACACAAATAAGAACACATATAAAAATGTATTATGTGCACTGCAAAAATAACTGATGAAATGATACAGTAGACAGACAGACAGACAGACAGCTAGATAGATAGATAGATAGATGCAATGGGTGCAAATGTTTGATATGAGTTTTTTTATTATTATTTTAATGCTATTTTTATGCTTTTTTTGGTATTAATTTAATGCTACTTTTAATGTTTTTTTGTATTATTTTAATGCTCATATTGACCCAACTGTATTGCACTGAACTGTACTGTAATTTATTATATATATATATAATGATGTCTCTGACATCAGCACAGTTGCTGCTGCGCCTGCAGATGGAAGATAGAATTTGCTGGAAAGCGGCGCCATTGCTTTATCAGGAGCTGCTTCAAAAGGATTGTTTTAGAACGATATCACAAAATAATAATTCGACTCATAATCAGGAATCTAATTACGTCGTTCTTATATCTTAGATTATAAATGGAATTAAATGGACCTTAACTTATATTCACCTCCACAGCCAATACGAAGAATGCAAATTATATTACACAAGCAGTCACCAACAGCCCTAGCGGACAATTTATAGAAAATGCAAAAACAGCCCGTTACTTTCGCACCCCCTCCTAAAACAAAGCATTTGCGTATTATGGATGCTGCTTAGCGACGATCACTTACCATTTCACTATATGCATCTCTGCTCAACCTTGGTGTGAGTTTTATTGTACCCATGAACACGAAGAACAGACCCAGTGCAAAGGAAAGGGCGACAATGGTTATTGTTCTTGGCGAGGCCATCTTCGGTAAAGTCTCCTTTCGATTGGCATCCGTTGTCCCGCTCCAGCTTTCTTCACTGTCCTGCTGAAGATGCTGAAGGGGGGAAGGGCTTGATGAATACAGTCAAATATGGCTGCATGTCATTCCGCTTCAGTACTAGGAAGCACCATGAGAGGGAGCTGCGGTTGATCAATGTCATAGTCATAAAGCCAATAGTACCCAACTGCAGTGCAACACTAGGGGGCGTCAGCAAACGTGCAAAGAGACCGCAGGATGTTCAGAAACAGCATGTTTTGTTCGGTTTTTACTGTTGTCTGTAGTCCCAAAACCCAGTGTCAACAAAGGAATTCTGTTTGACAACTATTTTAGGGTGACTATACGTGCCATTTTCCCAGGACGCGTCCTGGCCAGGATTTCTATATTGCTTTGATTCAAAGTACCTCGACAGCGTTTCGAAAACACAAGGAACCGATGTCATACACCGATCGGTCTGCACATGCAAACAAAGCCAAACCCTAGATATTTTAGGCAATATAGAAATCCTGGCCAGGTCGCGTCCTGGGAAAATGGCACGTATGGTCACCCTACTATAGACTGTTTACTTGCCTTCAGTAAGCTTGAGAACGTTTTATGGTAATGTAATTACCATTTAAAGGGGTCATATGATGCGATTTCAAGTTTTCCTTTCTCTTTGGAGTGTTACAAGCTGATTGTGCATAGATAAGATCCCTGAAGTTGCATGTCTGCGTTGAGCAAATGCTTTGGTTTGTTTTATTGTTTTAATATCAATGTAGAACAATTACTGCCAATAAGTATATACAATTTCTCCCACAAGGCCTAAATTTACCCCAAGAGCAGCCATGATCAAAACGAATAGTGTTTTAGAGGTCACTGATACTCACCAAAAGTAGTTGAAAGATCAACAGGCTGTGCATAAGCTGCTGGAACTTCCTCCGTGTTTATCTTGTTCTTTCGTTTTACTTTAACCGTCTTCTTTTTTCTCTTTATTTCCTCATTTCCTGTGAATAAATAGGTTAAAAGCATGAAATGAAATAGAATATGGTATTTCATAGTTTTAATGACACTTAAGTTTCAATACCTCTAGAGGGTTTGGAGACCTCGCTGTTGGGGGACTCTGGTAGACCCGAGTTCTCCTCTTTTACTTTGGCTTTGCGTTTCATTTTCCTTCGTTTGGGAGTCAGTAATACACTGCTGGCTTTATCTTTCTGGCTGCTGTGGTCCTGTTCTGCTTCATTTCCTTCTGTCTCCTCCACCTCTTCTTCATTTACTCCTCTGCTTGGACTCTCCTTCTTAATTTTAACCTTCACCTTCTTCTTCTTCTTGCTTATTTTCTTTTTTAAAGAGTTCTCCTACAAATGCCAAGGGTAAATCAATAAGTGAAGTAAATTAAACAACAGTACAGATTAGTAAAAAAAATAAATAAAAAAAAAACACATGATAAAGATATTTAACCTTATTTAGAATATTTTTGATTGGATGAAGAGTCCCATTTTTCCTCACAGTTTCATTGTGCTGTTCTTGACGGATGTCTGTTTTGCTTGTACGTGTTCTGCAAGACAAGATGAGTTGCATACATCTTATTATCTTAAATGTACACAAATTAGATAAGATGCATGCAAATGTTCAAAAGTTTGGGTCAGTTAGAATTTTTTCTTATTCAGAAAGAATTAATAATAAAAAAAAGTGATAGTAAAGACTTTAGCTTTTTTTTTTTTTACAAAAAAAAAATCTTATTTTGAGCTTTCTATTTATCAAAGAATCCTGAAAAAAATTATAATAGTTTATATAAAATGTAAAAAGCAGTACAACTGTTTTCAACATTGATAAAAAATAAGAAATGTTTCTTGAACACCAAATCAGCATATCAGAATGAATTCTGACGGATCATGTGACACTAAAAACTGTTATAAAGTAATGGCTGCTAAAAATTCAGCTTGGCCATCACAAGAATTACATTTTAAATATATATTAAAATAGAAACAGTTATATTAAAGTGCAATAATATTTCATAATATTACAATTTTCTCATCGTTCTGAAAAGCGAGGTGTGCTCTGATTGGCCAGCTATCCAGTGCGTTGTGATTGGTCGAATGCCTCAAGCGTTTGACGGAAATGTTACGCCTCTTACCATACTGTGATGCCGTTTCCCGGTGCGACGAGACAAAAACAATAAAACCCATTACAAACGAGGCATTTGTTGCATCCAGTGGGGACATAATTACGGATTATAATGACTTATACTGTCTTTTTACGCGTTGCGTTGCATCGCGCCACGTAAACATAAAACCAT